AGAGACTAATAAGGACATTGACAATCTATTTCATGAAATCCTGGAAGAAAACTTCCCAAATCTAGAGAGGCATTCAAAGATCCAGACTCCAGAAATACAAAGAACCCCAAATAGGATCAACCCAAGAAGATCTTCTCCAAGACACATTATAGCCAGAATGACCAAAACCACAGACAAAGACAAGATGCTCAGACTGGCAAGAGAGAAATGTCAACTTACTTATGAAGACTATCCCATCAGGCTAACAACAGACCTCTCATCGTAAGCAATGCGAATAAGGAAGGAATGGGAAAATATATTCAAATGATTGAGTGAAAAAACAATTTCAACCAAGAATACTATATCTGGCAAGATTATCCTTTACATGGGAAGAGAATACAAGAACATTCTCAGATAAACAAAACCTGAAAGAATTTACCAACACCAGACCAGATCTCCAAGTTCTGAAGGGGAGTGCTATCCCAGGAAAACTAAAGTCAGATATACAGAAATAAGAGTTCTAAAACAGCTAAGAAAATGGCCAGCTTAATGGTAAGAACAAGTCCAGAGTTGAACATTATCTTCCAGAATTTAAATGGAAAGATTGGACCACAATAGAATATAAAGTACATGAGTTTGAACTAGTGAAATAGAATTTTATGACTTTAGACTATAACATTACTGACCTTCTATATTTTGTTTCCCACTGTTAGGGAGTTTTGTCTTCTCTCGAGTTGTGGACAAGTCCATGTACCTACTATTCGAACAGAATCCTAACCTCTTTCCTGGCTTTAAGTATTAAGCAAAGTTCTCTTAACATTTTTTTTTTTTTTGAGAGGTTTTTGCTATCGGGTGTGTGTGTGCTCACCAGAAAAAGAGAGAGATAGACAGAAAGTGAGAAACCACCTCCCAGGGAGGATGGCCATGCTGCAATCTCTTCTCTTCCATTTTTCTCTCAGGATCTTGGGCACACACACAGGCACCTGCGCCAGGCATGAGTTTAAGCCACCGGGTCCAAGATTCAAACTGATAAACTACGTGGGAGTCCAGCGACATAGCCATTACACCAACTGCTGGTCCCTCTCTTAACATTTTTTTTTATTTTGATTTATTAAAGCTAAAACTGCCTTTTCTTTTTTTTGGAGAGGTTTTCGCTATAGGGCGCATGTGCTCGCCTGACAGACAGAGAGAGACAGAGAGGCAGAAAACGAGAAATCACCCCCCAGGGGGGATGGTCACGCTGCAGTCCCTTCTCCTCCATTCTCTTCTCGGGATCTTGGGCATGCATGCACACCCGCCTTGCGTGAGTTTTAAGCCACCGGGTCTGGTACGCGAACCGTGGTCGACTACGTGGGAATCCAGTGACATAGCCATTACACTAACTGCTGGTTCCCGAAAACTGCCTTTCTTGAAATTAAACAATGTATTTAAAATGTATTTTAAAAATAACTATTTAGTAACCACAGTAAGCTATATAGCTTCAGCTATGTCTATTTTATAGTATATTCATTCTACCCACATAGTTTCATGCCTAGTCAACTTTTGTTCACAGATATGTATATATCAGCTGAACTTACTATTGAAAGTATTTAGATTAATTAAGATATTTTGTGATTCAATACAATTTGGGAAAGAATAAAGGAATGGACAGCAACTGCAAATACCAGATACAGGGTGGGAGGAGTATGGGAAATGGCAGAGGGTGAGAATTAAGGGTGGGATATATATATATATATTTTTTTTTCTTGTATGTATATATGTGTGTGTGTGTGTGTGTATATCTATGAAACAAGAAATGGAAAATTACTTGTTGATAACATGTATGATTAAGCCACTTTACAGTGTATTATGGCTGGAAAATTACAGTTGGTATGTTGTGATGTTTAGTTGAAAGTATATAAAATAAATAAATTAATAAAAAAATCAATATTGGTCCATTAACTGTAACAAACATACCATACTGGTAGAGTACATAGTTCATATTATAATAGGGGGAACTGTGTGCTGGGTGGGGGTAGTGTACATGAACTTTCTGTACTGTGTGTTGTGCTCAATTTTTCAATAATTCTTCATCCAAAACTGTTCTAAAAAAATAAAGCCTATTAAAAGTAAAAAAAAAAAAAAAGAACAAAAGAAAGTGGTCAGTTTCAGTCCTCAGGCCTCACTGTGAAGAGGAATAATAACAATTCGATTTTTTCCTTTTTTTTAGAATTATTGTTATTTAAAAAAATTTTTGCTAGAACATATGTGCTCACCAGAGGGAGACAGAGGGAAAGTAAGAAATTAAGCCACCACATCCAGGTCTTAAACTGTGGTCGGCCATCTGGGATTCTAGCACCTTAACCACCACACCACCTCACCACCTACTGGCCTCTATGGGACTCGATTTCATAGTTGTACAGATTAAGAGTGTGGCTTTTGCAAAGCTCCTAGAACAGATCTGGCTTGCAAATGGAGTGGGTGTCATTACTGAAGGCAGTTTTTACCCTATATGATCAGGGGGTGTATATTCTCTAGAGCAGGCATCCCCAACCCCTATGCCACGAACTGGTGCCTTTTGGTGGCCTGCTGGGGGCTGGGTCGTGGACTGGTGCCGGTCCACTGAGCCTGCAGCAGGGGTTGGACAGCCATTGAGTCAGGTTTCATATGTGTTTGCAGCTACTCCCTGTTGTTTGAATTGCTATCTGGGCTCCGCCTCCTGTTAGATAAGTGGTGGTATTGGATTCTCACTGTAGTGCAAGCCCTACTGTTGTGTGACTGGAACCATGGTAGTGGTGGAATGGGGTGCATGGTGGACATGGTTTGTTTGAGTCATCTGAACACCCCAATCCTCATCCTTTCTCCACCCTGTCCCCATCTGAGGAGGGATTATCTTCCACGAGCCTGGTCCCTGGTGTTAGGAAGGTTGGGGACCACTGTCCTATAGCACATGAGAATCTAGCTACAGTTTATGTTACAAAGTCATTAGGACATATGCCTAGCTTATTATTTTCTTAAATACTGTTTGAAGAAAATTACATGCTTGTGTGGCAGACTTTAATGCATGAAAATATACAAAGTTTTTGGTATACAGATATTACATGCTCACTGTAGGAATTTTGAAAATATGGAAATAAGTAGAAGTAAGAATGATTTATAATCTTTGGTTGACTTTAAAATAAAGCTTATAATTCTGATTTATAATAGGGAGACCCATTAATCATTTCTGCCAAGGACCTGGTTTGAAAATTTTTAAAAAAGATTTATTTTATTTTATTTATTCATTCACTTATTTTAATTTTACCAGAGAGAGACTGAGAGAGAGAGAGAGAGAGAGAGACATGGTCAGCCATGTTGGGAGAATCCAGCGCCTTAATCACCATGCCACCTGCTGGTCCCTAGTTTGAAAATTTTTAAAATAATTATTTATTTTATTTATTATTATTATTTAATTTGACCAGAGAGAAAGAGAGAGAGCGAGTGAGCGAGAGAGAGAGAGAGAGAGGCAGAAAGCAAGCCTCCAGGTCGAGGACTTGAACCATAGTTGGCTATGTGGGAGTCCAGTGCCCTAACCACCATGCCACCTGCAGGCCCCAGAACCTAGTTTTTGAAGTAGTTAATTTTGCAAATAGAAGCCCAAAGTTAAATTTCTGTAGAGTCATCTTAATCATTCATTGTGATGTAAACAAATTTGAGCTGTATTCCGGGGACCAGGCTGTTTGTTTTCATCAGGGCACTTATCTGAGGAACAGCCAACAGGTGTCAAGGGTCTCCGGGACGCTGGTGAATGAGATGAGTGCATAGTCTGAAAGTTTGCTCCCTGCTCCAGGATACTACTACCACCTTCTCCGTGTTGAATATCAGGGTTATTTATTTTTATTTTTATTTTTTTTGGCTACAGAGCACATATGCTTTCTGGAGAGAGATAGAGGGCTAGAGAGAGGGAAAGTAAGAAAACAAACCCCAGGGGAGATGACCATGCAGCAACCCTTTCTCCATTTTTCGCTTGGGATTTTGGATGCCTGCGCATGCGCCTGTTGTGTTTTCCAAGCCAGGAGGTCCTGGCCCACAGGGGGCTTTAAAAAGAGAGAGACAGAGAGAAAAAAGAGAGAAAGACTCAGCTGTCTAAGAGGACTAAATATTCCCCGAGGGCTTCTTCAAAGATGAGGCCTTTGGCCCTAATGTCCTTGATCTTGCTTTGAAAATTTATCAGAAGAGTTTGGGCACTTAGCATTTGGGTTTCTTTACTATAATCGATTTATATTTTTCTGATTTTTAACACAATTCAAATTCCTTTAGATAAAAGATGGGATAAAGCCTGTTGTGAACAGATAAGCCCCCCTCCCCCATGTGTTTAAAATAGTTTAAACGATTTGCTTGTTCCATTCATCAGTGCTGACAAGCCAGCCCGATTTCCCTGTCTCTTCTGGGATGTAAGTGAAACCTTACGCGGCCCACATGGCTGGTCAGTTTCTGTTCTTTGGAAGAAACAGGTGGTAAAGGGAGAAACTGGAAACAGGCCACTTAAAAAGCAAATCTATTGTATGATAGTTTCTGCTTTAAAAAAAAGCTGCCAGAAAATTTACAACAAAAAGGAATCTGCTCTGTATTTTAAGGCCTGTGTGGCTACTCTGACACTTCTAGTTTGTTTGCCAAAAGTCTGCTCCGCTCCGATGGAGGCGGTGTGTTCTGGGGTTTTCCAGCTCCCCAAAGCTCCTCCCTCGCTTCTTTTCTAGTCCGCTCCAGTGTTTCCACAGGCTCCACCTCTCTTTGCCCCAAGGCATCTCTGCGCGCGTCTCTGATTGGTGTGCTGCAAAGCCTGGCCATTTAGGGGCTGTTGTCGGGCATTCAAAGTGATAAGGGAAAGGGTCCAGTGGCTGCTTTTATCAACCAATCAAATATTTTCGTGACAGATCCCAAAATATTACTGGGCCAATGGAGGGGGAAGCCCAAGATACCTCCGGGGCTCCTCTGGGCGGCAGAGCCTCTTAAGTGCGAGCAGGAGGCGGGAGCTCAGTGGGGCCCTGGGTTGTTGCCAGCTCCGACCTGGCACGAACTCGTCTGTCACTGTCAGGATTTGTCTAGCGACGCGTTCCCTTACAGGGGTGTGCTGGGGGGAGTCTTCTTTCCGACTATCGAAATGGTTATCAAAGTGTTTGTTGCCACATCTTCTGGGTCCATAGCGGTAGGTGTCTGGTGGACTCTGTGGGCTTTCTTCTATACATTTTCTGCATAACTCACGGTTGGAAGTAGGAGCCAGCGTGGCCAAGCGTTGGTTCCAGATTTCTATTTCGTGTGTAAGTCAACTGCTCCCTGCAGTAAGCGTGTGTGCCCTTTGCTTTCTGCGTTCGTTTTTGCGGTGTTGAAAAAGTGCAAAAAATGTGTAATCTGGAAAGCTGGATGTGAAATGGAATTCGAAGAAGAAAGTGTGTTTGATGCTGGTGTTTTTAACGCGGGAGTTGTGTCCTGCTGTGTTGCATGTATTGTAGAATTATGTGCTTTTGCTGGGGTGGGATAGTGTTCCTGCCTTTCATTCTGCTAGGCTTAGCATTAAAAGTTGCAAATAAATGGCACCCTTTATAAGACTGGAGTGTAAGATGAACAGGATTGCTAAACTGACTCCAGGGTGTAATTACTGGTACCTGTGATGGAACCGTGTAACCACGCCGAGTGTAAAGTTAGCATGTGTAATATCATTATTTGAGGAAAATGATGTCACAGTGACATGAGCAAACATCGCTAAGACTGTAATTTTAAAAGCCTCCAGGGGATCATTCCACCCCAAAATAGGAACTGAAAGGGACCTTGTCACATTGCTTTGTCTGATTGCCTTGAGTCCATCCACTGCTTCAGTTCTGTGTAGTGCAGACCTGCCTAAAGAAATAGTGGTAATGAAGGACTCACTTCTCTTCAGAAATGTTCAGGCTTTGACTTTAGGCTTGAACTTGCAGTGTGTGTTGGTGACTGATACTGCGGCTGGCATTTTAGCAGAAGTTTAGAAGACTGTGGAGAGAAAACAGTTTTATAAACCCCAAGAGCTGTGAGTGGGCTGTTTCCTTTTATATTTAGTTCCTGGAGGATCTTAGGTTGCCGCTTGGGTTTCAGCAATTGCTCTGCCAGTGATGATACCCTAAGCATTCGCTGGCTGGGGTGGTGGCCCCAACAGCTATCGAGTGCTATCACTCCTAGCCCTCAAAGTTCACGAGTTTCCAGAGAGGGTGAGAAGAAAGCAAGAGAAAACAGCTTGCTGGTCTGGTCTGAGCACAAATGATCAGCGACTGCTTTAGTGATTTCTAGAACAGGCTAACAGAAAGTGATGATTAAAATCCCAAATGTACGACCAACTGGTGGCGTGATGGTTAAGGCAGCTGGATCCCATACGGCCAACAACATGATTGGAGCATCTTGAAAAACATGTGGGTATGTGTGTGCATGCCCAAAATCCTGAGAGGAGAAGGGGTTGTGGTGTGGTCATCTCCCACCCCAGGGAATGCTTTCTTATCTTCTTCCAACTTCAAGCGCACATGCCCTATAGCAAAATCAAAAAAGAAAAAAAGATTAAAAAATCCCAAATGTAAACTGTAAAATCTTTTGTGAGTCTTAATGATTGAACATACATTTAATTGCTCTATCATGAGTATGCTTTTGGATCATTTGGATAAATTAATAAACTTTCTAGGAAAACGGCTTTAAATACGTTGTTGAAGTTCATTGCTGAAAACTTTTACCACTTACCTGCCAATCCTCTGTGTATTGTCTAGACTTGGTCTATGTATTCTTCAGATGACAATGAATATGTTTTTAGATCCCTTAGGGCTATTTGATGTTTTACATTCTTGAATATAAGAATGCACATTGGGAGTGTAATTTAGTTAACCTTGAAGGGCCTGGAAAAATGCCATTCATTCCAGGGTCCTGGAAAAGTCAAGTCAATTTTGGTTCCCTAAGCACATGTTTCAGCACTGCCTGTAACAGTGTGACCTTGGGAAAGGTATTTCACTTCAGCTAAGCCTCAATTTCCTTGTCTGTAAAATGAGGATAAGAATAGTACCCACCTCATAGTGTTGTCATGAGGACTTATGAAATAGCACGCCTGGGTGCCTGGCTTGATGTCAGGTGCTTAATCAGTGCTCAAAAAACATTATAATTATTAGTTAATGTTATAACTACCAGCTACTGTTAGGTAATATTAGTTGCTACTATAAATGTTGTAATTATTAGTTAATGTTAATTAGTAATTATAACACACAGTTATTACAGTTATTAGTTATTGTCTTTGTTAATTAATATTATTGAGTAGGGTCTGGGTCTATGATTACTATGTGCCAGAAGAATTGTCCAAAACCACATAAATGGAAGAATTTCCGTCTTATCCTAAAGAGTGAGAACCAATTGTCCCCATGGTGTCATGGCGATGACTTTTTGTGGATAGAGAATTTCACCCAAAAGATTTTGTCAGGAAAAGCCCTGGGGCAGCATCCGTGCTCATGGGAGTGTGTGATGGTCAGTCTGCAAGACATTTACTACTTACCACTTTAGCCTACACATTTTCAAAATGGGTTCTTATCTGACACCTAGTCAAGGAGGATACTCTGACTTTTTTTTCTGTTTGATGAATAAAATAAATGAGAGAGGAGAAACAATTTGCAATTTTTTAAATACACAATTGAATACATGCAGTGCTATATTATTCTCTATTTTAGCAGCTGACTTTACAAAACTGTGACATGTTTTACCAGGTTCCAGAAGTGTTTGGGTTCAGAGGCCTTGGGGAGCAGGAGAAGCTGCATGTCTTCTTGTATGACCTCCCTCTCTCCCGGTAGGGTGGCGGGATTAAAGGGGGGGACAGAGAGAGGATGGTCCCCACTGTCTCCAAGTACACAGCTCCTGGACCTGCTTTCTTTATGGGCAGACTCTAATGCTGACTGCTGGATTTCTCAATCCTTTCCCCATCTTGAATGACAGTGAAAATATTGTGGGAAAAACATGAATCTCAGATTTATCTGGGTGTAAAGCTTGGAAAATTCATCAATTTGTTAGAGCCTTAGCTTTATTATTTTATTTAATTTAAGAAAAAATGTATCCAGGGCCAGTCAGTGGCATGAGAGTTAAGATGGTAGATATCACATGACTGACTGCACAGTTCAAGTCTTAGACCTGGCTGCTTGAAAAACCTACTGGGCATGTGTGCATGTGTGTCCAAAATCCCAAGAGGTGAATGAAGGAGGAGGGATTTCAGTGTGGTCATCCCCCTGGGGTGGTTATTTTCTCACTCGCCTCCCCTTCCTGTCTCTACTGAGTACATACACCCTACAGCAAATTAAAACATTATATGTATATATCCACTTATTTCTTTTGTGGCTGCATGTGCAAGAGAAAGAGAGAAAGAGAAAGAGAAAGAGAAAGAGAAAGAGAAAGACAAACCCCCAGTAGGGCCTTTCTCATCCTTGGCCAGTCAGGATTACGGGCAGTAGGTACAGGGATACCACAGGTCGTTAACCCAGGATCTTCCCATGTCAATTAAGTATTGTAGAGCATTGACCACAGCCAATGAAAGAATTTCTGTCTTATCTTAAAGAGTGAGAACCAATTGTCCCCACAGTGTCATGGTGATGATTTTTTGTGGTTAGGGAATTTCACCCAAAAGGTTTTGTCAGGAAAAGCCCTGGGGCAGCATCCATGCTTGTGCGAGTGTGTGATGGTCAGTCTACTATGTTATTTTAAAATAGTAACCAGAAGACTTACCTGGCATGGCTGATGTGACACTGAAATGAGAAATGGTGTGCTGGGTACCTGACAGTGCAAATCCCCAGCTTACAGTACAAGCATCATCTGATTTAATTCTCAGCAAAATCATATGAGAAAGGCATGCTATATCTGTTTTGCAAATGAGGAAATTGAAGATCAGAGTCCTTTCAGACAGCAGTCTTCCAACCTAGCTTCTCTGTGACTCAAATCAAGAGCTCTTTTTACTACAGTACCGTGGCCTTAGTTGGAAATGCTCCTAACTGTACGGGACAATAAGCAGGATATGCCAAGCAAATGGCACCAAGAGGTGTTGCTGTCAGATCATTCCCACACATTAGAGTATCTCATTGTGCTGGGTGACTTCAGGACATAGAACACACAAGTAATTGTAACAGGATAGGAAAACAGAGCTCTCCAAATCTTTACTGAAGTCCCAAAGGCTCCAAAAATGACATAGACCCAAAACATCCACAGATCATGCAAAGCCACTACCTAAGAGAGATGGTGTGGCCTGTGGGGCCAGCATTGCCCATGGCACTCTGGGGGTGGGGGATAAAGAAAGGGTATGGGGAGACTGTGGGGAACAATTCTCTGAGAACTGATGTTATCCCTGGTCAGCTCAAGAGGCCGCGTGGAGAAGAGTTGTACTTTGCAAAGACTCAGTGTGGCTACTGGGTGAGAGACCATAAAAAGGGAGGGGGGCTTTCGAGCCCAGGAACCCCACCCTAGAGTCAGGGCTGTGGGTGTAGTCAGATGCTCTCACGTGGTCCTCTACATTCCTCTTTCCCCCTCTGGACTCAACCCTCAGACCCATAGCCCAGGCAGAGCTCAAGGATTCAGCCTACTGGTGTTTAGGGAGTGCAGGGAGCAAATAGATTTTACTTCTTTCTTCTTCTTATGGGGTTGTGTACTGAGAAACAACACTTAACTCAGTGACATGCATCAGACAGTACTGAACTCACCTGAATGCAATCTCATGTCTCATGAGGATTAACAGCAAGTATGATCTCCTTTCATTGTCTCCATCTCTCTTTGCTTTCTAATAGACGAGATGTAGGTCAAGACTTTTGGAAATGTATTCCATCTATTCAGAAATCATGGGATACAATATATTCCTTTCTTGTCCTACCTCAAGTCCTGGGTTGTGAGCCATGGAGTTGGGAACAGAGTTGAACTGGCATGGATGCAGGTCCACCACTCCCCAGGCCAGCTCTGGCTCCCAAGCATGCATTTGAGAAGGGTTTTGAAGAAGGGGTTTGGACAGCATAAAGGAGAGTGCCTTCTGAATATTTAATTAGAGGTAAACTTGCCTAAAATGAAGACACCTCTACTCACTTTTTCCAAAGATTTATTTATTTAATTTATTTTATTATTATTGCTGTTGTTATTTTAAAATTTGACCAGATAGAGACAGAGACAGAGAGAAAGGGAAAGTGAGAACACAAGTCACCTGATCTGGGACTTTTGAACCACGGTTGGCCTTGTGGAAATCCAGCGCCTTCACCACACCACCTGCTGGACCCGACATCTCTAATCTTTGAAACAGCAAAGTAATTTCTGAAAATATCTTAGGGAATAAATAGTTTATAAAATGTCATGAACAATGTTGGATATGTTGGAAAAGATGACTAGAGAAAGTGATGAATTAAAACAATAGTTTAGTCCAACAGCTCATCATTAATTCTGATGAGGTTTTGAAAAATGGAAATGTAGCTGTGAAGCTGTGGAATTGGGAGCATAGTGTCAGTGCAGAGCAGCAGAAGGTCTGGCTCACACCTGCCTGGCAGGTGGGCACCTTGGCAGGGACACACACCCTCCTCCTCTGGTTCTTAGGGTGTGACACTTGGGATTTGCCATCAGTCATGCCTTTCTTATACTTTTTTTAAAAATTCCATGTTTGTCCCAAACTGAATGTTTGTTCTGGCTGAGTCTTACTGTAAGTGTTGTGTTGTGACTAAGAGCAGCCTTTAATTTATGGATCTCATGCCATTATTTCCAATATATGTTGAGGGTATAAATGTTAATTTAAAATTTAAATGTCTGATTATCATTTATATATGTGTATGTGTAATATACATAAAAATTTGTAACATTTATGTTAATTAAAAAAAATTAGAAACCATTGAAAATTATATTCTTTTTTTTTTCTTTTTTAAGAGAGGTTTTTGCTATAGGGCGTGTGCGCTCGCCAGACAGACAGAGAGAGACAGAGGGACAGAAAGTGAGAAATCACCCCAGGGGGGATGGCCACGCCACAATCCCTTCTCCATTCTCCTCTCAGGATCTTGGGCACGCACGCACACGCATGCACCCGGAGTGAGTTTTAAGCCACCGGGTCCAGGACAAGAACCGTGGTCGACTACGTGGGAGTCCAGTGACATAGCCATTTCGCTAACTGCTGGTCCCCTATTAACTTATATTCTATATACTATATATAAGCAAAGCACCATTCAAATCAAATTATATATACATTTTGTGTATACATTATTTATGCAAATTAGATTTATATAGAATTTGTTTTTGATGATGATTTGTTCCAAGACTTTAGCTGATCTTATTTCTTCTTTACTAATTCTTGTTTACTTTTTGGCCATTAATACTTAGTAAAGAACTGAAAGTATTTTTGAAGACTAAAAATAAAAGATATGAGAGCATGGTGTATTCTGTAGGTTAATTATGTAATGATTCAAAAATAGATGGTATTAAAATTCCAGAATTTATTTTTTAAAGAATTATTTAATTTTATTTATTATTATTTTTTAAATTTTCTATAGGGTATGTGTGCTCATCAGAGAGAGAGATAGAGAGAGAGAGAGAAAGCGGGAGAGCAAACTGCCAGATCTGGAACTTGAACCATGATTGGCCATGTAGGAATCCAGTGCCTTAAATCCCACACCACTTGCTGGCCCCCCAAATTTTAGAATTTAAATAGGCACTCTGTTGATTTTTTTTTTTTAAAGAGGTTTTTGCTTTAGGGTGTGTGTTCTCATTGGAGAGAGACAGAGTGAGAGGGAAAGTGAGAAATCACCCTCTGGGGGGAATGGCCACACCACAATCCCTTATCCTCCATCATCCTCCAGGGATCTTGGCCACAATCCCTTCTCCTCTATTCTCCTCCAGGGATTTTGGGCACACACACACAACCCAGCGTGAGTTTGAAGCCACCAGGCTGGGGCTCAAACCATGGTAGGCCATGTGGGAGTCCAGCGAAGTAATGCCATCTGCTGGCCCCTGTCGATTCTTTATAATGAAGAGGTGTGCTTTTATTGTTTTCCTTGATTGAGTATTTAAAAACCCCCATCTATTTGTGGGGTCCAGATAGTGGCACAGTGGTGATAAGTGACGCTCTGCAAGGCTGACCCACACAGGAAGGTTCTGGGTTTGTGCCCAGAGAACTACCCCTGAGCACTGGGCATGTGTCCATGATCTGGAACTAGTTGAAGCTGGATGTGGATTGTAGTGTCAAGACCCTGTTGACAGTGCTCTTTTTCCCTCTCAAGAAATAAATAAGTTAAAAAATAATTTATATCACATGATATAGTTGGAGAATGGGTTTGCCTTATGTAAACATGAGCATAATATTTTTCAAGAGCAGCCAAATAATTATCTTTCTTTACTTTTGACCAGATTAGGAAGAAACAGCAAGAAGTAGTGGGCTTTTTGGAAGCTAATAAGATCGACTTTAAGGAATTGGATATAGCTGGAGATGAAGACAATAGGAGGTGGATGAGAGAGAATGTACCTGGAGAGAAAAAACCCCAAAATGGGATTCCTTTGCCTCCCCAGATCTTCAATGAAGAGCAATATTGTGGGGTGAGTGTTTGGTTTTGTAGTAACTCCATCTGTATGTGTATTTATTAGGAATTGTTTAGATTAGACTGATTTGAGACAGTATTCAAAATTGTTCGTGACTGTCAGTCTTGGCGTATTTCTACTATCCAACACCTGGATGGTAGGCCCATTGTGAATAATTAATAACGAAGATTTAAAAAATGGTGAAAACAATAGCATGGTGATTCAGAATATTTTCAGATTATTTTGGGTTCCTTATTTTATTTTGAATTGAGATCACGTGTTCAAACAGTATATGCATTTAGTTACAAAGGAATTCTATTCAGCTTTGCAGTGTGTACATACATGCACCTCCATAGACATATGGTAATTTTTCACCCGAATGTAGACTAATGTACAAAGGTAAAGCCTTACTATAGATACAAGATATATTTGTGTAAAATTGCCTAATTATTTTCTTTAATTTTTTTCTCCTTTTTTTAATTTGTGAGAGGGTGCACACATTTATTAGAGAGAGGAAAAGAGAGAGAGAGGGAGAGAGAAAGCACTTCCAATGGGGCGTGGTCTCACTGCAATTCCTTTTCCTCAATTTCTGCATTCTGTTAGGATTTTGGGCATGTATATATGCCTGTGAGCCTGGTATGTTTTTCAGCTGTATGAGCCAGGATTTGAACCATGTGGTTGGCTCCCTTTTGCTAGGCCATGGAGCTGGCCTCCATTTTATTTTCTTTATTCATGATAGAGAATGTGCACACACATGAGAGACAGAGAGGCAGAGATACACACACATACACACATGAGAGAGAGAGAAAGAGAGAGAGAAAGAGGAGAGCACCCTCAATAAGGTTTGGTTGTGCTGTAGTCACCCTCTTCTAATCCTTCAGCCCATTGGATCTTGGCACACATACGTGTGCCCAGTATGCCTCAGGCTGACTGGGCTGGGGATTAGAACTACAGTTGCCAAAAGGAGTCTGGCTTCTCTTGAGCAGCTTATCACTGCTGTGTCCCAGAGTCGGCCCTATCTAAATAGCTTAAAATTATTCTGGACATTTTGATTATAATAGCAATTTTATTTTCCATTTATTTCCATTTTTATTTGAATATTTAATAGTTCATTTCACCATAAAGATCATGCTTTCTTCAAATTGTTGGAAGGAGGCAATTAAAATATCAAGGAACTGGGACCAGCAGGTAACATTGTGATTAAGGCACTGGACTCCCAAGTGACTGATTGCATTTGGAGTCCCAGACCTGGTGGCTTGAAAATCATGCCAGGCATGTGTACATGTGTATTTAAAATCCTGAGAGGAGAATGGAGAAGGGATTGTGACCCCCTGGGGATGATTTCTCACTTTTCCTCTCTCTGTCTCTGTCTCTCTCTGATGAGTGCATGGGCCCAATGACAAAAACCTAAAAAAGAAAAAAAAAATCAAAGAATATGAGAATATGAGAGCTGGAAATGATCCCAGGGTCGGCTTAGCCATGTAAGGAATTTCTCAGGCGGAGGTACATGGGTTCGGTGAAGTAGAGGGAATTGCTGTATATGCTACTTCTGAGTGCAGCGACCAGGTGTGGGCATCTTAAATCACCTCTTTGTTGCTCAGAACTGCTTGGTCTGTAGGGTGGGTTTTCTTTATTATGTTTGTTATTTAAAGCACCTGTCATTCAACTGTATCCTGGGACCAGATCCTGCCACTGTCTGTCTGAGTGAATGACATTTTATTGGAACACATCCACACTAGTTCTTTCAGCATTCGCCTGTGGCTGATTTTGCACCATGTCGGAGTTGAGTAGTTGCAACAGAGACCACATGACCTACAAAGACAAAACTATTTATGATCTGCTCTTTCACAGAAAAGCTTACAGGCCTCTGATTGGAGGCATGGATTGTTTAGTTGTTGAGACTTGTATTAGTTTCCTAGGCCTGCTGTAAGAAAGTACCGCAAACTTGGTGGAAAAAGGAATTTATTCTCTCACGGTTCTGGAGGCTGGTAGTTTGAGATGAAAGTGCCACCAAAGTTGGTTCTGGAGGTTCTGAGAGAGACTCTGTTCCATGCTTCTCTTCTAGCTTCTAATGTTTGCCAGCAGTCCTTGGCACTCCTTGGCTTCTTGGAGCATCACTCCAGTCTCTCCCTCCAAGTCCCTGTGTGTCTCTGTGTCTTCACATGGGTTTCTATAAAGGAGAGCATTGGAATTGGGCTTCAGCCTAACCCAAGATGACCTTATCATAACTTATTACTTCTGAAAATACCCTATTTCCAAATAAGGTCACTTTCTGAAGTTCTGGTAGACATGCATTTGTGGGGCACACTATTCAACCTCGTACAGGGCTGGACAATTTTTTTTTTAAATAAGCAATTATCTAAACATCTGATTTATAAAAAGATGCAATAAGTTTTTAAATGAAGCAAACATCTTTTCAAAACAGCATTGAAAACTAAGTGTACTTGACCATACTCAGCTCATTATAGAGCAAATAGGTGAACAGAATAATAATGCATAATAGACAGCGTGTTTAATGAACTGGCAACAGAAATATTTGGGCAAAGAAAGGCAGAGGAACTTTGTCCTTTAAAAATTAGAACCGCGAGGCTTCATAATCATCTGGCATCTGCTCAATGTTATATCTATGGTTAGAAATGTACATGATAGGGGACCAGCAGTTAGCATAATGGCTATGTTGCTGGACTTCCATGTAGTTGACCATGGTTCAAGTCCTAGACCTGGTGGCTTAAACTCACGCCGGGTGTGTGTGCGTGCATGCCCAAGATCCCGAGAGGAGAATGGAGGAGAAGGGACTGTGGCATGGCCATCCCCCTTGGGGGGTGATTTCTTGCTTTCTGGAGAGCGCATGCACCCTATAGCAAAAACCTCTCAAAAAAAAAAAGAAAAAAAAAAAAAAAGAAATGTAAGTGATAGGAACTCCTGGGATCTTCCGGATTCTTTGTTTAAGGTTTCAGTCAACTGTGGCCACGATGTAACACTTGTGCTGAGTTACTCTGTACTAAGCAATCGTTTGCATAGGTTCCTTTATGTGTGCATGGTAATCGTTCAAATCTGGGATCCTTAGTGATCCTTAGAGCCACTCGATACTTTTGCCTCAATTTTTCAGTGTCAGCCATCGCACAGTCAGTTAACAAGGGATACACTTGGTATAGACAGTCCATCACTGCCTGCACCAAGTCCAGTTTGGCTTTAATGGAAAAGTTGATAAAGTTGGTGTCAACCAGGATGTGGTAAGGTGGACCCAGCTGTGTATTACGTTGAAAGAAGAAGCAGAATGAGTGTTGGGGGACGTCTCTTTCCTTCAGCATGCTAGGATCTTTCTTTTCTTTCTTTTTAGGTTTTAATCTATCCTTTTCTTTAAGCCTCTGATCTCTGAGACTAAGCATTTGCTTCATGGTTGCATACTTTCTTGTTTTCTTTTGTTTCCCCATGTTCACGCCACACTCGTTTCTTCTGGAATCACCAACAGCACAATGCTTCTTTTATTTTTCCTTCCTTTTTTTGGAGAGGTTTTTGCTATAGGGCACGTGCGATAGCCAGACAGACAGAGACAGAAAGACAGAAAGTGAGAAATCACTCCCCAGGGGGGATGGCCACACCTCAATCCCTTCTCCTCCATTCTCCTCTTGGGATCTTGGGCATGCATGCACACGCGCCCGGACTGAGTTTAAGCCACTGGGTCCGGGACTTGAACCGTGGTCGACTACGTGGGAGTCCAGCGACATAGCCATTATGCTAACTGCTGGTCCCGCGCAATGCTTTTTTTGACAATTTTTTTTTAAAGGTTTTTGCCATAGGGTGGGTGTGCTTGCTAGAGAGAGATAGTGAGAGGGAAAATGAGAACACTCCCCCCCGCCCCCGTCCCCCACAGTGGGCATAGCCACACCGTAATCCCTTCTCCTCTATTCTTCTCTTGGGATTTTGGGCATGCGTGCACATGTACCTAGAGTGATTTCCGAGCTGCCATGTCCAGAACTCAACCACGGTCAGTCATGTGGGAGTCCAGCGCCTTAACTACTATGCTTTCTGCAGGCCCTAGGCTGGGCAAATTTTTTGGCTGTGTTAGCATTCTTCAGAGGGTTAGCTAAAAGTCCTGTAGTGTAGGAGTGTTTCCAGATGACCTTAATGTGGTAGGCACTATTTAGGAAAATACATGGTCTAATTCAGTTTTCCTATGGATTTAGCCTGGGGTTTCCCGTAGTATAGATGAGGTTTCTTCTTTTAAAGAGGTCCCCCCTTACCTTCTACTCTTCCCTTCATTGTCCCCTCCCCACACTTCTAAGAATTGTGGCTCTTGTTGGACAAGGAAAGGGATAATGGGGCTTTTTGCTGGAGGAGATGGTAGAGAATTTTATTCTATTTTTATAAAATCTTTTAAAAAAATCTTTAAAATAAATTAGGGCCCAGATGGTGGTGAAGTGGTAATACGACTGGACTCACATCAGAATAGTCCAGGAGGGACCAGCAGGTGGTGTAAAGGTCATGTAGAAAGACTTCCACATAATCGGCTGTGGTTTGAGTCCTGAACCCAGTGGCTTAAGACTCAATGCTGGGTGCATGTGTGTGTGTGTGTGTGCCCAAAGTCCCGACAAGAAAATGGAGGAAAAGGGATTGCAGTGTGGCTATTCCCCCCCACCCCACCCCGAGGGCGGTTATTTCTCATTTTCTATTTCTCTGTCTCTCTGGTGAGCACACGCACACCCTACAGCAAAAATTTCTCTCTCGCTCTCTCAAAAAACGGACAGTACAGGGTTTCTGTTCCGGGGCCTTCCTATAACGTGCCATGATCTGGGCTGACAGACTGGTGTGTTGGGGGGTGGATTGCGGTATGTTAACTTTGTTAAGGGTGTCTCTCTCTTGCTCTCTCATGGAAGAAAAAAACTTAACTAATATGTGCATGCACTAAAAAATTAAAATAGTTTTCCAGTGAAAACACTTCCCTCTCATTTCAGATTCCTGTCACTCTTGCTGCCCTGGGCTGCCTCCATGGGCTTGTGAGCTGAGGATGTACACAG